GGTCTCCGGCCTCTGCTGTGGCCCTACTGTGGCCCGGCCTGGTGGTCTGCAGGCCTCTGCTGTGGCCCGGCCCAGGGGTCTGCAGGCCTCCTCCGGCTCTGGCCTACCTCTTGGGGGCAATCCATGAAGGAGCCCTGGATGGGTGAGCGGGGCCTACCTCTTTGGGGCAATGGATCGCAGGGCTCCCGCACTGTAACAGGGCACAGACCAGGCTACTAGTGCACCGGGCTACTAGTGTTAACATATAAACCTTATAACAACTCTACATGGTGGAAGCGGGGTGCCTCCTCACGTGATTACCATCACACGCTGGGCCTCTAGTCTATACTAATAATAGGGTAATATGCAAATTGGTTGGGATACCCTCACTCGTAATGACCAATCAGTAGGCTGCGTGCGCAGCAGGCGCAGGTGGGCAGGGACTTGCCATGTTGAGGACGGGTGCAGGGCACAGTGTTGAGGACAGGTGCAGGGCACAATGGAGGCCTCTCCGTGCACCTGTGCCGGGGTCTGCAGGCCTCTGCTGTGGCCCCACCGTGGCCCAGCCCGGGGGTCTGCAGGCCTCTGCTGTGGCCCTACCATGGCCCGGCCTGGGGGTCTCCGGCCTCTGCTGTGGCCCTACTGTGGCCCGGCCTGGTCTGCAGGCCTCTGCTGTGGCCCGGCCCGGGGGTCTGCAGGCCTCCTCCGGCTCTGGCCTACCTTTTGGGGGCAATCCATGAAGGAGCCCTGGATGGGTGAGCGGGGCCTACCTCTTTGGGGCAATGGATCGCAGGGCTCCCGCACTGTAACAGGGCACAGACCAGGCTACTAGTGCACCGGGCTACTAGTGTTAACATATAAACCTTATAACAACTCTATGAAGTGGATGCTGTTATTATTCTCATTTTATAGAAGGTAACTTAAGCATAACACAGAAGACTACTGAATGGTTCAATTGGGTTCAGGCCATAAATCCATATGAGTCCAGGCCAATTGGGGCCAGGCCAAAAGTCCCTCCAATCAGGGACTAGTTTAGCCTGCCTATACCTCTCTCTTATAATACTAAACAATAGGTTAGTATTGGAGATCTCCTTCCTACCTTTGGCTATCTTATATAGTAAGCAATGTGATCTCTTTATTTTATAAGTATTTACTGACCTTCTTGATACTTAGGGAATAAAGACTAAACAAAATTTGTGTACTTAGAATTATAATGTAGGAAGGTATATAAAAAGGTATATTTAGGCAAAATGCATACATAAATGTTATATTAGAGATGCTGAGGCTATATATAGGAAGGGAAAATAATTACTGTCTGGGGTGGAGTGGGTTTTCACAAGGTACTGTTTGAATTGAACTTTAAAGACTAGGAAGCATTTTGATGGGTATAGAAGCAGAGCAGATGGGACGTTATTTGGCTAAGAAAAAGTACTTAAGACAAATTATTGGGGAGCATTTTGACTGTCCTGTTAAGGAGTTTAGCTTTATTTTGTGCAGGGCTATTAACATTTTAAGAAGACAAATGAAATTTTATGCTATATTTTGGAAAGACTACCTCTATTGATAGTGGAAAGAAATGGAATTTCAAGATACAGCACCTGTAATAGCTTGGGAAGAAGCTGATGGAAGCTTGTAATACTAGGAATAGGAAATAGTAAGAAAGGAGGGGTTCATAAAACTAGAATAAACAGAATTCTATGACTGCTTAAATATGAGAAAAAGGGTAAAAGAAGTACGGCTCAAAGGTTCCTAATGACCAGAAGGAAATTATACCACTAACTAATATGAGGATCTCAAAAAGAGACAGGTTGTGTGTGTGTGTGTGTGTGTGTGTGTGTGAAGCAAAGAGAGGGCAGGTAATGAGTGAGCTTAACATGCTTCTAAGATATTCTTATGGAAGCTGTACAGTAGATAGTTGGAAATACTAGTAAATAGGTTTTTCTTTTTTAAAAAAATATATTTTTATTGATTTCAGAGAGGAAGGGAGAGGGAGGGAGAAAGAAACATTAATGATGAGAGAGAATCATTGATCAGCTGCCTCCTGTATGTCCCCTACTGGGGATTGAGCCCACGACCCAGGCAAGTGCCCTTGACTGGAATCGAACCCAGGACCCTTCAGTCCACAGACTGACGCTCTATCCACTGAACCAAACCAGCTAGGGCAGGTTTTTCTTTTTCATGACATTTTAAAGAGCACTGAGAATCATTGTTTCTGTGTAAGAATCATATTTTGTTGAAACTTTCATTGTGTGAAAAATGCTGTATTTTTATCTGTCCCACATTCCCCTAAAAAAAAAAAAAATCAGTTTGCACAATGTAGATGATAAAGGATTTTCTGTCAAATGAGCACATAAATGTGAAGTAAAATGGGGTAATATTTATAAAGCAGAATTCTGAGTAAATCAATTGATAGAAGTTTCTCACCTCAGTTTTAGCTCTGCAAGTATATAAAATTAAGATCATATAAATCATATATGATCCTGTGTTATGATTCTTATATTTTGAGTCCTGTGTCATCATTGTAGACAAAGATATTTCATGAATAAAATTTTCATTTTAGTATATAATACTGCGTATGTTCACATTTCAGGCAATGTCAAAAGCAAAACTTGTCAAATTATTCCTTTTTACAAAAATAGTTGACAATTTTCTAAATATTATATTCTGCCTGAATTTAAAAAATCATTTTGGAAAACGACAATTGTAAGGCTAGGAACCTGAAACAAAAAATAAAATGATCTATCTAATAGAGCCTTCCTAAACCTTTATTATCTTCATAAAGACATACATATGTATTTACATAAAACAAAACATCAACTTTTTCAAGAACCTTTTTTCTTTACATTGAAATAGTGCTATAAGCTAATTTTCCCCTCATTATTTTGGTCTACTATGTGTCTGTTTGAAGATGGAGTTTCCTTTACATCAGTTTTCTATTCTCTCTACCACATACAATTAGGACATGGCATAATTTTTTTGAGTCCCTGAAGAGATAGGGCACCTACCTCCATTTATCAGTCTTTGATAACACAATTTTACACTTCTGAAACTTTCAGACAAAAATTAACTTGTTAGAGTTTTTACTACTAAATTTAATTATGTTCTTTATAAGGAGATACCCTGAATACACCTTTCTTTTTTATTTAAAATAGGGATCTTTCTGTGGAGGAGGAGACTAAGGAAGAAACTAAGAATAAGGTAGAAAAGTTAACTGATCAACTGGTAAGAGAATATTTAAATTTCATTAACTGTTAATTAATTAGTATTGACTAAAGTAGGTAGTGTAATGTTAAATCTAATTAATTTAATTATTTTAAAAATTCAGGGTAAGCTCACTTTTGTATTTTAATAAATAAGATTATGCTCATAATTAAATCTTGCTTTGATAATTGATAATAACCTGTGTCTCAAAGTTATACTATGCACCAGTCTTCACTGTAAGTTAAAATTAATAGATAATTGATTTGACTTGCCCAGAAACATTCTAACAGTTGGTTTTAAGAAATCTCTTATTTGTCTTTTAAAAACAAAATTCAAGCAAAATGAAAACAATATACATAAAAAGAAATCACACACACACACCAAATTTTATTTAGTAAGAAATTCACTGAGTTGTTTCTGAAGTTAATTCTCTTCCCTGTGTGTGTGTATGTCTGTCTGTCTATCTATCTATCTATCTATCTATCTATCTAATCAATTATCTATTATTGAGATAGATAGATAGATAGATAGATAGATAGATAGATAGATATATTGATTTCAGAGAAGAAGGGAGAGGGAGAGAGATAGAAACATCAATGATGAGAGAGACTCATTGATTGGCTGCCTCCTGCACGGGGCCCTACTGGGGATCAAGCCTGAAACCTGGGCATGTGCCCTGACCTGGAATTGTGACCTCCTGTTTCATAGGTTGATCCTTAACCATTGAACAATACCAGCTGGGCTGTTTTTATCATCTTTACTGTTAGAAAGTCGAGTACTCAATGAATGAAAATAAATTATACATTAATATAAGCCTTTTATTGTTAATGATAATATACTTTATGGTTAATTAAATATGAATATCACATGTTTATATTCAATGAAGTTTGGATGAACAGGTTTTATATAACGATTGGTATCCACTTAAAAAGTTTGTATAGGCCCTAGCTCAGTGGTCGGCAAACTGCGGCTCGCAAGCCACATGCGGCTCTTTGGCCCCTTGAGTGTGGCTCTTCCACAAAATACCACATGCAGGTGTGCACGTACAGTGTGAATGAAACTTCGTGGCCCATGTGCAGAAGTCAGTTTTCAGCCTGGGCGAGTCTATTTTGAAGAAGTGGCATTAGAAGAAGTGGGGGGGTGTCGTTAGAAGAAGTGGGGGTGTGTCGGTCGGTTGGGCGACGGGATACGCAGCGCGGGGGAGCTACATTGTTTTGAGGTAAGTTCGCTGAGTTCGACCCTTTCCAACTCTCCCATCCACACTCCTCTATCTGATACAAGTATACAAGATGGGTGTGGATGGGAGAGTTGGAAGGGGTCGACCTCAGCGAATGTACCTCAATCAGATTGAGGACGTTTTTAGCAAAAGCCAGCTTAGGAGTACCCTAATTAAGTTAATAACAATGTTCCTACCTATATAGTTTAAGTTTAAAAAATTTGGCTCTCAAAAGAAATTTCAATCATTGTACTGTTGATATTTGGTTCTCTTGACTAATGAGTTTACCGACCACTGCCCTAGCTGGTTTGGCTTAGTGGATAGAGCGTCAGCTTGTGGACCAAAGGGTCCTGGGTTCCACTCCGGTCAAGGGCATGTACCTTGGTTGCAGGCTCCTCCCTGGCCCAAGCCCTGGTTGGGGCTTGTGCAGAATGCAACCAATGTATGTGTTTCTCTCACATCGACGTTTCTCTGTCTTTCCGTCTCTCCCTAAAAATCAATGGAAAAATATACTCGAGCAAGGATTGACAACAACAACAAAAGTTTGTAAAGGTTATTCAGTAACTTATGAAAGAATATATATAAACATAAAATAATCATAGTATTTACTTGTATGAGGTTATTACCATAACAAATTTTGCACAGTAAACACAACATAGGCAAATGTACTTAGGGATGCACATTTGAACCAGGGGAACTAGATTCAGAAAACATTTCAAGGTCCAGGTGTGGGATATAGAGGCAAGGGTGGAAACTGACTTGAATTTGATTTAGATGCCAAATCAACTTTTCAAAAATGGATTAAACATCAAATATTTTGAAAAATAACTTAAAATTGTATTTATTATAAGATATATTTAACAAGTGTGATGGTTATAGTATTTTCTGTCAAAAAGAATTTATGTGTATTAATTTGGTAATTAGTGTTAGATGATTCTGTGGTGACTTTTGATGGCAGAATTGACCTTTAGTTTGAAATATATACACTACTGATAGTGATCTTTTTTTGTTGTTAATCCTCACGGATATTTTTCCCATTGATTTTAGGAGAGAGTGGAAGGGAGGGATGGAGGAAGAGAGAGAGGATAGAAGAGGGAGAGAGAGAGAAACATTAATGTGAGAGAGACATATTGATTGGCTGCCTCCCGCATGTATCCCTACCAGGGGCCGGGGATGGAACCTGCAACCCAGGCATGTGCCCTTGACCAGGAATCGAACCCGAGACCCTTCAATATGCAGGCAGACACCAATCATTGAGCAACACTGGCCAGGGTGATAGTGGTCATTCTTTTTTTAAAAATATATATATTTTTTTAAATTGAGTTTTTGCAGAGAGGAAGGGAGAGGGATAGAGAGTTAGGGGTGTCGTTAGAAGAAGTGGGGGTGTGTCGGTCGGTTGGGCGACGGGATACGCAGCGCGGGGGAGCTACATTGTTTTGAGGTAAGTTCGCTGAGTTCGACCCTTTCCAACTCTCCCATCCACACTCCTCTATCCGATGAGAGAGAAAATTGATCAACTGACTCCTGCACACCAGATGTACCCGCAACCAAGGTACATGCCCTTGACTGGTATCGAACCTGGGACCCATCCCAGTCCACAGGCCGACGCTCCATCCACCAAGCCAAACTGGCCAGGGCTAGTGGTCATTCTTTATAATCGCTTATCTAGTTTATGGAAGTTCTTTTTTTTTTACTTTTTGAGAAATTTTAAACCAACAGAAAAGTTACAAAAATAGTAAGAGTAGCACAACATGCACTTATATACCCTTTAGAAATGTTATGATGTTTTCCTGTGTTTTTGGATATAATTTTTATGTAATGAAGTACTATTAAATGTAAGGTGTATTTGTTGGGTATTGTTGGAGATGGAGGAATCTTAATTTAAGACTCAAACCCAACCCAGCTGGCATGACTCAGTGGTTGAGCATCAACCTATGAACCAGGAGGTCACGGTTCGATTCCTGGTCAGGGCACATGCCTGATTGTGGGCTCAATCTCCAGTGTGGGACATACAGGAGGCAGCTAATCAATGATTGTCTCTCATCATTGATGTTAATCTCTCTATCTCCCCCTTTCCTTTCCCCTCTGAAATCAAAAAAAAAAAAAAAAAAAAGACTCAAACCCAGAAGTGGAGAGAAAGCAGATAGTTCTGAATGGACTTTATTGGTTCCTACTTACAATCAGAGTAACTCCATGCCAGGGCATTTTCAGTGACTCAGCCCTTTATGGCCTCTGCAGTAAGAAGCTGTTCTGATATTCAGAGATCAGTAGCAACATACTCATTTTCCCAAAGTTTTAGCAGGGTATAGAAGCTATGATATCTTGTTAAGGTTTGAAGGAAGGCCATCATCCATCTGTTCCAGGCCCTTTATCCATTTCTATTGCCCACCCATTCCTCACAACTAATGTAAAAACCATTCTTAGAAATAGTTTTCATGTTATTGTGTAGAATAATCTTTGTAATATTTTAAACTCAGCATTTTTTATGCTTTAAATTACCAATTCAGTGCATGCTTTGTATTTCTCAAGAGCAACTATTTTTTAAGTCCTAACTCATACTTACATCTAAAATTGTTCATGTTTCCTATATCGTCACCCTATTTTTTTTTTAAAAAAGGTGTCATTTATTCTTCTCTTTGAATTTCTACTTTGTTTATAACTTTCAAATGAATTTATAATGACATTCCTCATATGAAAGCTTCTTGAGTTTTGGTCTTAAACTTCCTATAATGTTGTAAGTTCCTTGAGGGCAGAAGAATATCTTAATCTTATTTGGGTTTTCTATAGTCTATCATAGTGATTTGCTCATTTTTTAAATACATTGTCTGGTTTTAATATTAGCCAAATATAATTGTGTAAATTTTTAATAATGTCTTCTAGGATAAACAGGAAAAGGACATACCTTCTAATCTTATGCCTGTTAACCTACTATTAGAGGTGAAAAAGTTATTGTGTACAGTTAATAATCTACCAAAAGGTGTGGTCCCTTACATTGAGAAGTTTGTAGAAGAAAATTTTTCTTTCCAAACTGTACAGGTAAGATAATTTGTTTATTGGGGCAGAAGTATAGCCCTCTGTATGTAACTATCTAGGAAAACACGTTCCTTTACTCTCATACTGCTTCCATACTCACAGCACTTCTGACACTAGATGTGAGGGTTTATTCCCACACTGATCAATTCTCCAAGGCTAGCTGGGTGTCTTACAAGTCATTTCAATTCTGATACCATCTACCTGGAGTTAGTATCAGATCCCACAGCTTAAGTTCCCAGTACCACAATGTTGCCCCCACTTCAGATGCCATTCGCCAGTCCTAAGTTGTCTTCAGTACCTCTGACCAACTGGCTATAAATTGGGGTACTAACACCTCTTGGTTGGAATGACTTGCTAGAACAGTCCACAGGACTTGGGGAAATACTTATGTTTACTATTTTATTACATAGTATAGTTCATGATAAAGGATACAGATGTACATCCAGGTCAGGGTCTGAAAGGGTCCTGAGTGCAGGAGCTTCTGTTCCAGTGGAGTCTCGGTGTACCCTTGTCCTGGCACGTGGTCATGTTCACCAAACTGGAAGCTCTCCAAACGCCTTACTTTTTAGGATTTTTATGGATGCTTCATTATGTAGGCATGATCAATTATTAACTCAAATTTCAGTTCCTCTCCCGATGGGGCTGAAAGGTCCAAGCTTTTAATCTTGGCTTGTTTTTTTCTGGTGACTAATCCCTATCTGGGAGCCTACCAAAAGTCACGTCATTAGGACAAAAGACACTTCTATCACTTAAGAAATTCCAAGGATTTTAGCTGCTTTCAAAGACCAACTAGAAGCAGGAACTTGGGGCAGAGAGCAATATATGTGCCTTATCTTTTAATAATAACTCTTTTTTTTAATCACAACAGTATTGGTAAAGTCTTGAAGTGTTCATCTTATTGCTTGTGAAGGGCTTAATGTCAACCTTGACTGTAGACTTTTATTAGTTAAATAGAGTTAGTTTGGTGGTAGCCTTTCAAGAATAATGGTAGGAATGTTGGTTAGTAGTTTGTAAGCTATTGATTATAAGGTCTAGTATTTATTCTAATTTTATTAATAACCATAATATGCCACTCTGGGACAGAGGAGTGCATTAGGTTTTCCTGATTTTTAAAATGTTGACAATTTTTTCAAAAATGTAAAATAAAAATAATGTCCAAAACTTTTAGATACTTGAGTAAAATAAATATTCTAGAGAATATATTGTAGATTTCTATCTTGCAGATCATTTTTCTAGATATTAAGATGTGAAATTTTCACCACATGATGGGTATCAGTTTTCAAATTAATGGATTTTTCCAAAGTTAAAGAAAATCATCTACTTTTTGTAGCAGTTAATTGGCAGGAAAGAAGCAAAACAACCATAGGTATCTTGAAAAGGTCACATTTGCCTTTTCTGTGAAAAAATGTATCATTCATTATTCCACAAGACAAATTAATACTATTATGATTAAAAAATCAGCCGAAGCCGGTTTGGCTCAGTGGATAGAGCGTTGGCCTGCGGACTGAAAGGTCCCAGGTTCGATTCTGGTCAAGGGCATGTACCTTGGTTGCAGGCACATCCCCAGTGGGGGATGTGCAGGAGGCAGCTGATCGATGTTTCTCTCTCATCGATGTTTCTAACTCTCTCTCTCTCTCCCTTCCTCTCTGTAAAAAATCAATAAAATATATTTAAAAAAAAAATCAAACTCTGAAAATATCCAAAGACTATATACAATTATAACCTTAACTTAGGTAATTTACCACAGTATACATTCTGGTTTAAAATTGATGGAATAATGCCACTATATTCCTCTTATCTTTTGGAAATCACCCAGAAACAATAATGAGAAATAGAACCCAGTAGCCGTTATATATGCAAACAATAGCCAATTAAAGTTAAAAATGAAAGAAAAGTACTTATTTATAATGGCAACAAAAAAGGTAAAATACTTAGGAAACACCTAAGGGCTGTATAAGATTATAAATTAGAATTTCTCCAAGATTTTCCTAAGCCACCTACCTGAGGCTGTCTTAACACCATACTAGTCCTAAAGGATCTAAATCTCTAGGGTAGGTTTGGAAATGTCCATTTTAGCAAGCAAGTACCCCCACACACTGATTTTCTTCACTTTAAGTTTAGAAATCAATACTCTATTAAAACAATAAATTAAAATCTCTAAAACTCCATTAAAAGTAAAAAAAAGAAGACCTGAATGGAAAGCAGTACATTTCGGAAAATAATATAGATAAAGCTGTCAATTTTCCTGAAATTAAAATGTATAAATATCATATAAGTCAATAAAAATGATAAAAGGATGTTTTGTTATTACTAAAAGCTTATTCTAAAGTTCAAATGGGAAATAAAAGGAAGAATAGCCAAGAAAATTATGAAAGAAAAGTGTAGTCGAAAAGGGCTTGGAGTTTTCCCAGTTAGATGTTAAAACTTATTATGGAGCTCTAGTAACTAAAATATTGTGTTACTTGCTCTTTACTCTACAGACAAATCTAGAAAATAGAAGATAAATTTCAAAAATAGACCCAAATACATATAGAACTTTTATGTATGATAAAGTGACAAAAATTGATAATGCTAAAGGGGAAATAGATAAATCAACAATCCTAGTGTGATTTAACATAATTCTCTGAATAACTGATAGAACATGGACACAAAATTAGTAGAACTCAAGCAAACTTGATCTAACAGACATATGTGTTTATATATGTGTGTGTATATAATATATACAGACATACACACTACATATAGTAGTAAATACTGCACCTAACAGTGGCAGAATATATGTTCTTTTTAAGTGCACACAGAACATTTACAAAAATTGACCATGTGCTAAGTCACAAAGCAAGTCTAATCAAATTCCAAAGAATTAAAACATAGAGAGCATGTTCTCTAACTATTGTACAATTATTTTAGAATCAGTAACAAAGATAAACTAGAAAGTCCTATTCTTAAGTTAAAATATACTAGAGGCCTGGTGAATGAATTCGTGCATGGATGGGGTCCGGCTGACCCACCCTGATGGGGGCCTATCAGGCTGGACCAGCGGGGGGGAGGGGCCACAGGTGGTTGACCGGCCAGCCCTGCCCCTGATCGGGGTGTTGGGGGCCAATGGGGGGGGCAGCCACGGGGAGGGTCCATGGGTGGTTGGCCAGCCAGCCCCAACTCTGAGTTGGGGTGTTGGGGGCCAATTGGGGATGGGCTGGCTGGGGGGAACAACTGCAGGCTGTTGGCCCGCTGGCCCCGCCCCTGATTGGTGGGGGAGAGGGGAGCTGATCAAGGCCCGGATCAGGCTGGTTGGCTGCCGCAGTGCGCGTCATAGCCACTGGTCCTTCTGGTTGTTCCACCATTCTGGTCACTGGGCTTTTGTCTATAACTAGAGGCCCAGTGCGAAATTTGTGCACTGGGGGAGGGGTCCCTCAGCCCAGCCTGCAACCTCTCCAATCTGGGACCCCTCGGGGGATGTCTGCCCGCAGGGATCGGGCCTAAATGGGCAGTCGGACATCCCTCTCACAATCTGGGACTGATGGCTCGCCCGCCTGCCTGCCTGCCTGATTGCCCCTAACCTCTTTTGCCTGCCAGCCTGATCACCCCCTAACCACTCCCCTGCCAGCCTGACCAACGCCTAACTGCTCTTATGCCAGCCCAATTGCCCCCAACTGTCCTCCTCTGCCTGCCTGATTGCTCCCAACTACCCTCCCCTGCAGGCCTGATCCCCCCCAACTGCCCTCCCCTGCAGGCTTGGTCCACCCCCAACTGCCCTTCCCTGCTGGCCTGGTCCTCCCTAACTGCCCTCCCCTGCTGTCCTAATTGCCCACAACTGCCCTCCCCTGCCAGCCATCTTGTGGTGGCCATCTTATGACCACATGGGGGCGGCCATCCTGTGTGAGGGCATGGCAGTCAATTTGCATATTACCTCTTTATTATATAGGATAATAAAAGCATAATATGCAAATCAACCTAACAGCTGAACAGTGGAACGACTGTCCAGACGACCTTCCAGACAAAGCTGGGTGGCCAAGGCAGCCGGGGCTGTGAGGGCCAAGCCCCTTGCATGAATTTTGTGCATTGGGCCTCAAGTATATATAGATAGCTCTAACCTAGGTAACCTAGGGGTCAAAGAAGAAATCATAATGAAAATTATATAAATTTTTAAACTGAATAAAAAATATATATTAAAACTGTGTTATTAAGTAAAAGCTGTGCTTTCAGGAATATTTATAACTTGAAATTCATATGTTAGAATAAAAAGCAAGGTTGAATACCAATAATCTAAATAAAAAGTTCAAGAGATTAATGGAAGAACAGTAAATTAAAAACTAAGTCTAAAGAAGGAAGTATTAAAAATAGCTAAGTCGAATAAAATAGAATAAAGCACATAATAAAGGTCAGCAAAGCCAAAACTTGTTCTTTTGAAAAGACCAATAATATTGATAAATGCCTAGTAAGAATGTTCAAAGAAAAAGAAAGAAGGCAAGAAAATAACCAAATCATTAATGTGAATATGAAGACATTAATACAGATTCCATAGTGATCTAAAAGATCATAGAGAATTCTGTAACTTTCAGTGGCTGCCTAGATTGGTTTAGAGCAATTCCTTTGAGAAGAACTTGAAAAACTGGACAAAATATTTCTTAGTAATGCTTATTTGTGCTTTTCTGACAGATCATTTAATTCAACTAAGGACTGAGATCATTTCAAGCTTCTGTTCCCTGAGGAAGAGTCTATTTATGGTTTACCATTTGCAGTAGGTACTGCCAGTGCCCTGCCCATATCCCTTGACTTCTGTCCTTTCCGTATGCTTTTGACCAGCGTTCGCCAACTAGTGGTCTACAGACCACTGGTGGTCCGTGAGGTCTGAAAGCTTGGTGACCACTGCTCTGGACAACTTCCAGTTTTCAGTATCTGCATCTCTATGCCTCAGACCTTTTTTTTTTTTTTTCTGGAACTGCAGAAGGCTGTACTCAGCAGTTCTAAAATCCCAAGGAGTTAATACTCCCCTTTACCCTAGAAAACACTTTGGGATTGTTATATAAATACCTCAGTTCCCTTTTGCATTGGGTAATAATGAGGTTTGTATTTTTACTGTTTCTCAGTTTCCCTGTTATGTTAACTAGAGTTACCCACTGTGGGTAACTGGTTTAATAACATATCCCATTAATTTAAGGCCTGCTTTCACTTTCCTGTATCTTTTCTCCACTCCCCTACTCTTGTCCTTGGCATATCCCAAATAAACTATGTGCATTTAAATCCTAGTGTTAGGGTGTTTTTCGAAGTGGGATCAAAAAAGATGCTCTTACAGTATATTTCTTCAGGTTCCCAAACAAAAGAATGAGTTGTTTATTAGGCCTGCTGTTCATAGATCATGTACTCTCAGTTTTCCCCCTACTTTTACAAGTTTGCTAAGAAATGTGCCTAGCATCTCAGCCTCTCAGCCACAACCAAATACAACAGTTGCCTTAAAGATAAAAGTGACTCCCAACAGTCTCACATTTCTGGTCTTTCTTCCTGTCTTGCATTTTGGCCATTGATAGTTTTCAATTGCTTTCAAATATATAGTTTTTATATTTTGTTCAGTTTTTTAGTTGTCATTGAGAGGATTGATCTGAAACTATCTAGACTGCTTGGCAGAGGTGGAACTTCAGTGTTATGTTTTATATGCCTTTTCAAAATTAACATATATTGTTGAGTAACTGGATATATGAATCTGGAATTCTGGTGATAGTTCTGAGCTGGAAATAAAAATTTGGAAAATCTCGGAATTTGGAAAGCTGTGCTTTCAACTAAGGACTGAGAATAAAGGTTGGAAACCACTGCTCCAACCTTTGCAGTGTTTAAAAACATGGCTGGATTAATTTATCCAGGGAATGTGTGTCGATGGAGAAGAGGTTCATTAACTTGAGTGCTAGGGAGACTGAAATTAAGCATCTAGTTAGCTAGGAGAACAACAGTAAAATATTGTATATTAGACACCAAGTTAAGAAAATGTAGATTAAACTTTCCAAACAGATAATACAATAGGTCCTCGAGTTACGTCAGAGATCTGTTTGTACAGAGTGACATAACGTGATTTTTGCCAAAGTTGGAACCCACCTTCATAAGCACCTACGTCACTCACATGGAGCACATACACAGCAGTAATGAAGTGAAACAGTAAAAAAAATTTAAAAGAAAGGTAACAATTCCTGACCTTTACTTGTGGTAAATAAATAATAAAAAACATAAAGCACATATGTACAAAAGTTGAAATGACAGAAGTTTTTTTATTTATAAATAAATGGGAGATGGCGATGTAACCACGAAATGACGTATGTCGAGTCCGATGTAACCTGTAACCCGAGGACTGTCTGTACATCATTAAACAGATAATGTAATTTAAGCCACGCAGTTGTGGTCATAAGGCGTTGGGGAATGACCACAAACATAATACATAGTCATTCATTTCATCTGCGTAAATACCAAACTAACATACATAATAAATCATTTATTAGCTTGGTTCCAATCAGATTGTAGTATCAGATGGCTTTTCTTGGTGTTGATATTAAAGCCAGCATTCCTGCTTACCACAGGTTCAGAGTTGGAAGGGAGATTTTAGTTATGCTAGGGCACAGAAGATATGAGAATGAATTGGGATTACCACTTTCCTCTGAAGTAAGAGTGGATATTGCCAACCCTTTGGCAGACATAGTAATGCTTTTTAGTGTTTTGAGGAAATAGTTACAAAGGTTTGACAGAGTTCTTAAGAAAAAACATGTATGAAAACAGTTGTATCTGGGTTGTGTGGATTTAAAGAAGAAATCTTTATATCTGTATTCCAAATTTTTTTACAATGAAAATGTATTATTTATAAAAATATGTAGATATTTATTCTAACTTAAGGACATTTTCAACTGAATAATTTTGCATAGAGAGAAGTTGCAGCTAACAGCCAGAATGGGGAGGAAATAGTTCCTGCTTTGACTATACGTTTCTTGATAACACAACTGGAAGCATCACTTAGGAACATTCAAGCTACTAATTATACTGTAAGTGTTTTGTTTTTGAAAGTTTGAAATAATGGACTCACAACATTTTTCAATGAGACTATGGCTAATGCATGCTAACTTTAAGGTGTAGGCCAATTTCTATTTTCCTCTTTTACCTCTATCTAGAGCAGTGGTTTCCAACCTTTTTTTGGCTATGCCCTACCTAAACATCTCTAAAATTCTGATGCTCCCCCCCGCCCATGACATGTAATTTTTATTATTCAAAGAGTGAACTATTCACATGGAGGAAGCCTAAAAGGCCATTAACTTGGTCTAAACAAGCTTACAAAGAACATGGCATCCATGAAAGAGAAAGAAAAAAAGAATGAAAGGATAGTTGAACTACTGAGGAAGAAAACACTAAGAAACTGTTAAAATAATAATAATATGAATATGAAAAACAGCAAATAAAGTTTCAAAACATAAAATAGAGAACTGAAATGCATAAATATGTCACAATATATATTTATATACTGTAAATATCTATTTATATACTGCATAAGAAATGCAAAAAATTCACTGTTAATAACTTAAAAATCGAGTTGCCCCACGTTGGGAACCACTGATCTAGAGAAAGTTACACATACCGTAAATTGACTTCCTTCCTTTGTCTTGTACTTTATGACTGCATCTCTTTAATAGGCTTATTCCAGTCCCCTTCCCTGCTACAAAATTGTTCATCTTAACCAGATAACTGCCATGTGTCCAAAACGGAAACCATCCCCACACACCACGATATTTTGAATTTAATTAAAAACATCATCTGACTCTGGAGTTGAATAAAGAATGTCATCTTCTTCTTGCGAGGTGATTGGTTCAATTATTTCTTCATCTGATGCCATTTATGGGGATTGAATTTTATTTGCACAATATAATACATTACAACGATAAATTCAATAATAAAATGATAATTTTAAATTCTACGGAAATATCAACAAAAGCGAGCGTGAAATAAAAATAAACCATCGAGAAACCAAGATGGCAGCATAGGTAAACACCAGAAATTGCTGCCATGCACAACTACTTCCAAAATACAACTAAAAGACAAAAGGGACATCATCCAGAACCACAGGAAGGCTGGCTGAGTGGAAATTCTACAACTAGAAGGAAAGAGAAAAGCACACTGAGACTCAGAGGAGCTGCAGTGTGGAAGTAAAGTTTAGAGGTACAGAGGCGCAAATTGAAAGGGCTGGCAACTGAGGATGCAGCTGTCTTTTTCATTCAGGAGGGAGTCTCAAGCTCCCAGCTGATCTGAACTCCAGTTCCAGGCTAGTCTCTAGGGACCCAGACTCATACTGGGAGAAACTGGACTGTCTGGCATTGGTCAGAACTCGAGGGCAGCTTTCTCTCAGAGGTGTTTGCAGCGATTCCCACGGGACACTGAGACCGGGGGCCTCATAGGGTAGGACTGGGGAGCAGCCATCGCTGCTTGCTCCGCCCTGTTGATCCCCTGAGACCCCACCCCACCCAGGCTGTGCGCAGTGGCTTTTGCATGTGAACAGCCTGGCCCTTTGCTATCTGAAAATTACCTAACACACTGCAGCTGGGTCAGAGAGACCCAGAACTTCCAAAAGAAGGCCCAAGGCCCCAGCAGCTTGCATTGCTTCATAGCTGGGCCTCATATGGGCACCTCCAAACCCCAAACAAAGAAGAGGAATCTGCAGATCTCT